CAGTTTCTTTGTATTTTTGTTAACAACAACAATAATAAAAAATGTTCATTGTGGTAAATGAAATAATAATTTTATCTAAGTAAGAATTTTTTTCTTCCCGATTTGTAAAAAAAATCCTTACGTGATAGAAAAAAAAAGAATATTATTTTCGAAATCTGCCGTAGCTGAATTATGGAAAATCCGTTATTAAAACCAAAACAATTTTTATCAGACGACTTAACAGATATAATATCTGATTGTTTTTGTTTGTTTGTTTGAAATTAAGCACAAAGCTACACAATGGGCTATCTGTGCTCTGCCCACCACGGGTATCGAAACCAGGTTTCTAGCGTTGTAAGTCCGCAGACATACAACGCTAGGCAATTGGAAGGAAATGTCTGATTGAAAAAATTTATAAGGACCGTCTTAAATAATTCATAACAATTTGAAAAGCTTTTTTTTAACATACTTGTACTTGTGGTCTAAACATTACAAAATATTTTTCTGGAAATCAATTAAATAACACAGGCCTGCGAATTTAAACTTCAGGCTCGAGATTTGTTTATTTGCTTGAAATATGTGACTATTTTACTCTTGTTCCTTATTCGAATCATTTTGATAAGAAACGTGAATTTTTGAACTGACACATTTAATATCAAGCTACACTGCTGGGCCTAACGTGTTAACCAGACGATCGCCATTTGAGCTTGTGTAGCTTTAAGCGATGAGGTGTTTTATACCAAGAAAAACATTTAAAGAAGAGGTAAAAGGTAATATTCAAATATAGAAAACTATACCATACAAATGGTATAAATATTGTGAATTAATTTTTTAAATATCTTTTATCATGGGCAGGTGGTTAGGGCGCTCGACTCGCAATATGCGGGTCGCGGGTTCGAATCCTCGTCCCACCAAACATGCTCGCTCTTTCAACCTTGGGGGCGTTATAATGTGACGGTCAATCCCACCATTCGTCGGTAAAGGATTGCCCAAGAGTTAGTCACATTATAACGCCCCCACGGCTAAAAGGGAGAGCATGTTTGGTGGGACGGGGTTTCGAACCCGCGTCCCGCAGATTGCGAGTCGAGTGCCCTAACCACCTGGCCATGTCAGGCCTACCAAGCGTATAGAAACATTTGCCGGATCATGTATGAAAGGCACAGAAATAATACATAACCTTAAACGAGATCCACGTATCCTTGGAAACATCGTAACCTTGGAAACACTTTGGACAATATTTGTAAAGAATGAAAATAACTTTGAATTGTTAGAAATATAACGAGAATGATATGACAGCTTCAACAAACTGTAAGAGAAATAACCATTTGTTGTGTAAGCGCGGAGAATTGTTACGCAGTCAATTTTCGGTGTGTTTGTTCAGTAAAAGAGTATGCATTCTTTAGTAAAAACTGTTTAACCTCTAGAATCTTCAACGCTGCTCCTTCAGTAAAAAGTCTGTATTCTGTAAAAACTTCAGCGCTGTTTCTTCAGTAAAAAAAAGTATGTATTCCATCAAATCTTCAGTGTTGTTACTTCAGTAAAAACGTTGTACTGTGTAGAAACTTCAATTCTCTCAGTAAGGAGCACGTATTTAATTAGTTGTAAAATGTTTGTTCGAACAGTTTCCACCGTTGTGTGGTCAGTAAAAAGTGTATGTTTTATAATATATTCATCAATCTTTGAGCAGTAAATATTGTGTATTCTGTAAAATATTCACCACTCTTTGAGCAGTAAATATTGTGTTTTCTGTAAGATTTGTTTGTTTGTTTGTTTTGAAATTCGCGCAAAGCTACACGAGGGCCATCTGCGCTAGCCGTCCCTAATTTAGCAGTGTAAGACTAGAGGGAAAGCAGCTAGTCATCACCACCGATCAGTCCCACTATTCGTTGGTAAAAAGAGTAGCCCAAGAGTTGGCGGTGGGTGATGATAACTAGCTGCCTTCCCTCTAGTATTTCACGGCTAAATTAGGGACGGCCAGCGCAGATAGCCCTCGTGTAGCTTCGCGCGAAAATTCATTACAAGCATATGTACACTTGGTATTATAAGGTTGAAAATAAAAACCATTACGGAGGCAGTTGAAACCAGTTCAATTATTGTAACACTAGAAATTAAATTGTTCTATTTCTAAATGAACTAACTGTATGGTCGCTTTAGCTTCGCACTATATTTTAAAACTACGTGATCAAATAATGTAACGTATAAGATTACACCGGATTGTGTATTTTACAATGTTAACTTCTCTCTTGTCCTATCCTCCAGTGGTGAGTTCACGGAATTACAACGCTAAAACTCGAGGTTCGAATCCCTGCGCTGGACTAATTGCAGGTAGCCTATTGTGTAGCTTTGCACTAAGGCAACAATTATTTTTCCGGTAATAAAACTAAAATATCAAGTTGTAAACTAACTTTGTGTGAAAAAAATAACCGCTAGTTGTTATTGATTTTGCAAGATGATCAACACTTGACTAACTCACGATCAATGAAACGTCAGCTGTATTTAATGAAACGTCAGCTGTTCTATCCGTAAGATAATCAGTCACATCTCGATCCTGTACTTCAACCATTTTTATTTTGTCTAGTCCGAGAAATCTGGTTGACAGAAGTAAGGATGGAGCTACTAAAAAATAAAAACAGTTAGGTTAAATAATCCAACAGCGAGTATACATTGTATATATGTAGATTTGAATTTTTTAATATCGGCTCTATACAACAGTTTGTTTGTTTGTTCTTGTTTGTTTTTTGAATTTCGCACAAAGCTACACGAGGGCTATCTGCGCTAGCCGTCCCTAATTTAGCAGTGTAAGACTACAAGGAAGGCAGCTAGTCATCACCACCCACCGCCAACTCTTGGGCTACTCTTTTACCAACCAATAGTGGGATTGACCGTCACATTATAACGCCCCCGCGGCTGAAAGGACTGTGATGTTAATACTACCTGTAGCAAACCTTGGTTTAAACTGTTATGTGGATGTTAATACTACCTGTAGCAAACCTTGGTTTAAACTGTTCTGATTATGATGTAGTGCAACTAGATGCAGGTATTGATGATGATGTAGTGCTACTAGATGCAGGTATTGATGGTGATGTAGTGCTACTAGTTGCAAGTATTGATGGTGATGTAGTGCTACTAGTGCAGGTATTGATGGTGATGTAGTGCTACTAGTTGCAGGTATTGATGGTGATGTAGTGCTACTAGATGCAGGTATTGATGATGATGTAGTGCTACTAGATGCAGGTATTGATGGTGATGTAGTGCTACTAGATGCAGGTATTGATGATGATGTAGTGCTACTAGATGCAGGTATTGATGAAGATATAGTGCTACTAGATGCAGGTATTGATGATGATGTAGTGCTACTAGATGCAGGTATTGATGATGATGTAGTGCTACTAGTTGCAGGTATTGATGATGATGTAGTGCTACTAGTTGCAGGTATTGATGGTGATGTAGTGCTACTAGTTGCAACAAACGAAACGTTATCATCAGCCACTAACAGCAACAATGTCAACAAACGTAACGTTATCATCAGCCACTAACAGCAACAATGTCAACAAATGAAAACGTTTAGAAACATCTGAGATAAGTTTCGGTAGTTCTATAGTCACCTCATCAAGTCTCGGAAACTCTTTTCACAGTTCCAACAACCAGAACTACACACATCAGTGATACAAAACCAAACTTCACAACCAGAACTACACACATCAATGATACAATATACCAAACTGTACAACCAGAACTACACACATCAGTGATACAATACCAAACTTCACAACCAGAACTACAAACATCAGTGATACAATACCAAACTTCACAACCAGAACTACACACATCAGTGATACAATACCAAACTTCACAACCAGAACTACACACATCAGTGATACAATACCAAACTTCACAACCAGAACTACACACATCAGTGATACAATACCAAACTTCACAACCAGAACTACACACATCAGTGATACAATACCAAACTTCACAACCAGAACTACACACATCAGTGATATAATACCAAACTTCACATCCAGAACTACACACATCAGTGATACGTTCCGCTTGATGTTGCTAATCAGATCGCTCCATTTTGATGTGTTTAACTCATCGTTCTTGCTAACTTGCTCGTTTCACCAAAAACTACAAATCCCTTCTTAGGACCTTTTAACGTATCGTGGCGAAACGTTCTTGACATATTACTTGCGACTTTTTTTTTGGTAAAACGTGTTTTCAAACATTCACCTACTTGGTATATATAAATGACCTAGTCTGTTGTATAGCTCGAAATCTGAGGGTCGCGGGTTCGAATCCCCGTCCCACCAAACATGCTCGAACAGTTTAAACCAAGGTTTGCTACAGGTAGTATTAACATCCACAGAACAGTTTAAACCAAGATTTGCTACAGGTAGTATTAACATCCACAGAACAGTTTAAACTAAGGTTTGCTACTGGTGTACTAACATCCACAGAACAGTTTAAACCAAGGTTTGCTACAGGTAGTACTAACATCCACATAACAGTTTAAACCAAGGTTTGCTACAGGTAGTATTAACATCCACATAACAGTTTAAACCAAGGTTTGCTACAGGTAGTATTAACATCCACATAACAGTTTAAACCAAGATTTGCTACAGGTA